GGGGATAGTAGTCATAAAATTGTCAAAAACTATAATTTATTTTTCTCGGACGGAAATCAAAAATAATTCTAAACTTACATGTATAAATATATGATCGGCTGCGTTTTCATGAATCCATTTATCATTATCCACTTTTAAATCTTGATAAAATAGAACGGCACTACCACGATAGAAATTAAAAGCTGACTTAGCCATTTTTCGAAATCGTCCACGAAATGCTGTCGGATTATCTTTCATACCATCGCCAAAAAAGTGACAGAATATATCAATGATATATTGTGAACGAACTGCATCTGATTGTCCACGAATACGCTCGATTGCTGATTGATCAGCATTGGACTGAAAACTACGCGGTATACTGGGCATAATAAAACAAATCCTGATTAGAGATCTGAAAGAAAATTGGTAGAAAATTTCTAAGAATTTCTTAATAATTTTAATCAAACTGATTGAGCTAGTGCGATAGTGCACTGGTTTCTACATAATTATTTATACATATTTCTCTACTGGCTCTCTAATCTAGTTTGCATTCTGCACTATTTTGTATAGTGAATAATCTTCTTTTATATTTTGTTTTTTCTGCGGTATGTGAGCGTTCTCGTTCTGTCTTATATATTTTTCTTCTCTTACAGTGCATTTTAATTTCACAAAAATATTATCACCGAAAAAAGAATATGAGAAGGGTATCTTGACCTGTAAAACGCTGAGTAGTTTTCTTTACTCATTCCATTATCCACTATATATGCTTGACCAGAATTCTTGCGGCATATCTCGACGAAAGTCTTGTGCATGTTGTGTTGCGTTTAAAAAGTTAAGATTGTGCTCAAAAGATCGAGAACTTAATTCTCTAGAAAACTACGAATTTTATTATTTTACACTTAAAATTAAATTTAAAATTTTATTTTTTGGTGTATGTGATCTTGTAAAGTGAAAAATTCTGCATCTTCTAGTATAAAATGCATGACCTTGTATTTTGAGTTTGAGAACAAAATACCGATAATATTGATTTTCTACGTTCTCCTGAAAGTTCGGGATATAATTTGAAAACAAAACTGACAGTTTTCTATAGAATTAAATGCTCTATCTTATGAGGTAAATATTGAAATTTTATACGCAAGTCAACATAGATCAAAAAATTCAATCGAAATATGCGTCATGACTTCTGTCCCAACCTGTATATGCATGCTCGATCTACGCCGCTTGGAATCAATGAATGGATAACTAATATTGTTTATTTGCTAACCATCTGAACGAAATGACATTTATCTCGAAAAGATAAAATTGAAACGACTCTATGGGTTTATGTATATGATAAAGAATAAAAATCGCCATCGCACTATTTGCTTAAGGTGCAGTTTTTTTTTTGTTCTTATCTAATATCTGAGAATGATTGTGAATAATGATTTCTTATTTATATGAAATTTAATATGTAAAAGAAATATGACACTTTAAATCAGTGAACGAAACGTTGGTATAAGCTTTATTCTGTCAGACTACAAGTGGAAAAATATTTCACTATAGTATTCTAATGGAAAACTGTCGTGTAGTAAGCAAATATAGTAATGACATTTCGCAAGCTGAATAACATGCAAACACTATACATACTGACGACAGCGACTGCCCAAGAATTTCATTTATGCATGGAAGAACTGTAATAGGATAGAATCCGCCATTTTAAATATTACATTCAATTTAAACTATCAAAACAATGTTGAAAACACAACATATTTTTGTTTCCTAGCTCTTAGAAAAGACGAAACAAAGGTTCCTTTCGTCATCCTCTTTAAAACAGTTGTTAGCCAAGCACATTTCATTTCAGCTTCGCAATTTACTGTAAGGGAATCTTCACTATCTTAGCTGTGAATCTCTGACACGTGTTTCCCAATATCTCTGGCAATCTGTAACACACCCATAGGGCAGAGCCCGGCGGGTTGCCACTTTCTGGCAACCTATAAGCTAACCTATACAAAATTTCACAACCTAAGCCTAACCTATCCTGTGATTTTTTGTTTTCAATCCCATTCAAGAATAAGCGCTTCATCTATAATTAATATGAATCATCTATGAAAGTGAACTTTAGCGACTATAAATAAGAGTCGTATATATTCACAGGCGACTATAAATAAGAGTCGTATATATCCACAGGCGACTATAAATAATCCATAAAGAAGTCGACCCATTTTGTATTAAGAGGCCCAAGCAAATATCACCTATGGGAAAAATCTAGATACATTTCGTCTGTAATCTGGCGATACACGACTAGTTATCATCCAGATTAGTAGTTGGAAAAGAAACTTTTAACTAGATGCGTCTATGTATGCAACTAGCAATAGTTAAATCGATCGATCATTGGGCGATAAATCAATAGTTGTAACTAGAAGAAATCTAGCAACCGCCCGATTACTAGATTTTCACTGCTCATTGCGGCACTTTTTGAAGAAATGTACCATTTGATTTGATTTATTATTTTTTTTACAGAAAAATCAATTTAAATCGATCTTTTTATATTAAAAATGTTAAACGTTAAAAGTTGATTTATTATTCTTTTTACTTGAAAAATTAATTTAGATCGATTTTTTCTTTTGAAAAAAACCTATTTAAATTAATATTTTTAGAATTCTTTTAGATAAATCTGTTTAAATTAATTTTTTGAAAAAGTTCATTTAAATTCATTCTGTTTCATGCAAAAAATCTATTTAAATTCATTTTTTTCAATGAATCTGATTTTGGTTCTTGTAAAAGGTTAATTTTAATTTCTTTTTTCTCCAAATAAAAGATATTATGCGCTTAAATAGATTTTCTCGAAAACTAAAATCAGATTTATTGAGATAGAAATAAATTTAAATAGATTTTTCACACAAAAGGTTACGTAGAATGAATTTAAATGAATCGTTTTAAAAAATAATCTAAACAGATTTTTCTAAAAGATTTTTGAAAAAGTAAATTTAAATAGGTTTTTTCAAAAAAAATCGATTTATATTGATTTTTCCATTAAAAAAAATAATAAATAAAAAAGAATGGCACATTTATTCGAAAAGTGACGCAATGGGTGTCGTTACCTAATAGTTACAATCGAGTAAGAATCCAGTGATCTAGATGAATCGGACGACACTGGATTTTTTTATGACGCTTGGGGGCGACCACAAACTCTGTAGATTTCAATACATTGAATAAAATGGCTTCTAATGCTACAGATATGAATGCACTCTCTAAAGACGCTAAAAATGATCATAATGATGAATCAATTGTGCATAAAAGTATTCAAACAGGTCACCAATGTACACATCAAATGTCAGATGATGATCACCATACACAGCATTCGGCTACTAAACGTATCGTAAAGAAAGCCAAGAATCACTCATGCATTGTACTAGAGAAATCTGAAAAAGTTCAGAAATCATAGACAATTCCGGCGTCGAACTCTGAGCTTCCGATGCTGAAAGCATATCTTCAAGAGCGTCGCGTGAT